GACAGAACCTGGGGTCCTGCTCTGCTCGCCTGGAGCAGAGACCCTCCTGTCGCGCCAGGCTCTGTGCGCTGTGGGGAGCAGGCGGCCTGTCCCCTGCGCAGCCCTCGCCCACAGGCGTGGGGCAGGGCAAGGGGACCGTGATAACTTGGGTTTCCTGTCGCTTTGCCAGCGAGGCCTGTGCCTTCCGCTGCGGAGACGAGCGGAGCGACAGGAGGAGTCTCCTGCGCACACGTGTGCCTGCGCCCTGCTTGAAGTGAAGCCTGAGGCCCTAGAGAGGGGGGCAGGAGCCTGGGGACGGGAGAGAAGAGAGACAGCGGCTCCTGGGTGAGGACAGCACCCAGCGAGGGCCCTGGGGCTGTGTAGAGGGGAGCAAAGGGCGGCTGTTGGCAGTCTACAGACCTACCAGGCCTGGGAATTGAGAGCTCAGCCTCGGAGCTGCTGAGGAGGGGAGTAGTGTTATGTTATAGGGGTGCTTTAATTGCCCTGCAAGAAAGTGCACACTGATCTGCAGAGAATGGACGGCTAAAGTTAAATCCCAAGTTAGTTCAAACATGGAAAAGGGAAATGCCCAGCTTCGAGCACCAAGCGACCTGTGTGGCATCCCGCAGCACCAATACGCAGTCGCTGTGCATTGCGGTCAGGCTGTGCAGTGCTTACAAGAAACAGGACTTTTACAGGGGTGGGAGTTTATTGTGCTTCATGAGTGTCTCCAGAAGGACATGTACCTGAGGAGAGGGCTGTAGACAAGAATGTCTCGTCATGCCCTCAACTTTGTGAGAGCTGGTCCATAGCTCGTAAGGAGGTCTAGTGCTGAGGACCTTCCACCAGCAGGAAGCACAGGTCTGCGTTGGGGTGGGTTGCAGCACCGCAGAGGTGCGGTAGGGATGCGCATCCCCCGCCTTGGCCAGGACACAGGGCCCTGGGGCTGTCCCCCTGGGCTGGGGTTATGTGAGGAAGTCGCCTCCAGCAGCAGCAACCTGGCAGAGGCTCCTGGCAGCTCCGGGCGAGTGCTGCAGCCGGGTTATTATTAGGAGTGGTGCATTGCAGAATGGGCTGGGAGCAGGGAGTCAGTAGGGCTGGGACAGGAAGGAAGTTCGTAGCGAGTGTGTGCGCAGATTTGCTGTTCGCAGAGAGAATCACTGGTGCCTCCAGCCTGCTTAGAACAGAATTTATCCAATCCATACTCATCATAGTGGCAACATGAAATGAATTAATTTGAGGACTTGTCGTGGAGTCTCCTTCCCTGCTAAGTGGGGACCGTGTAGACTCAGGGGGAGGAAGAGGCCAAGGAAAATGAGCTTCTTACCAGAGAGATGCTGAAAATGTTTTGTGCTGGGGAATGCATTTTCTCCCCAGGAATAGGGGTCTTGTTTGAAGCGTTCCCATATAAGGAAAATTCTACCTTTTAATCTTTTCCTTCCCTATCTCTCTGTCTTTCCTTCCCACAAAGAGACTCCCTTTCTGTAGGTGCAGGATGGAGCCAGTGCTAGGACTGAGCACTTCCTTTCTGTTGGGAAAAGAAGTGTTGCCAGCCTCACGGGCCTAGAAATCCATAGATTAGGACTTTCCCAACCTAAGCTTGTCTTGAAACCCTGAGGTAGCAAACAGGAGGGCTTTTCATGGCCTTTCTCATTTCCTAAGTATTAGGATTTATTTTTCAAACTCGCTGTAAAGAAAGATGTCCAGCTTCCAAAGCTGGAGTCGCACTGGCCATAGTGGCGCTCACAAGTGTTAAACAGAAACTGGAGAGGTGACCTCACGGCAAGGGCCTGGCTCTGGTTGCCTTCCTGGCGCTATTCTGCTTGCCACAAAGAACTAACAGGTGAGCGTAACGAGAGCAGCAGCCCAGTGCCGAGGGCTGGGCACAGCGCACGTGCCACCCCTTTGCTTTCTGCACCCCAGGGCCTGGGGCCTCCCAGCAAAACGTGCCCTGGGCCAGCACTGCAGTGTGGTCCCAAGCGATGATCTTGTGGCACAGAGCCCACTGCCTTGCAGCCTGTCTTTGCATAGAAGGGCCAGGCACCTCGCACTCAGCCTAGCACAGGTTTTTGCAAAGCTGCAGAACCTAATACAGCAGCCGCTGTCCAATCTAGCCTGTCTGTGGGCTGGCTAGTATGATACAGCCTTGAATAAAACAGGAGAATCCATCCTGCTTCTAACAGGCTGGATTGAAACACACTGTTTTGTCCTGCATGGCTGTGATGGAGCTGAGAAGCCTCTCGCCCTGCCAGGGAAGTGTGGCCTGGTGCAGGGGAGCCCTCTGTCCAGCCTGGTGGGGCCATCAGCCTGTTGTGTTGAACCACAGCACGGCTCTCCCTGCTGTAGCAGGGCCTGCTGCTGGGAGCAGCGCTGGGGGCTCTGCCGTGTCTGGAGGAGCCCGTGGCTGTGCATGGAGGCTGCAGCCTGGGTGCATGGAGGGGCCAGCAGGCTGGGATGAGCGGCCCCGTCGCGGAGCGCGGAGGAGCCAGCGCACGTGGAGTGAGCTCTGTGCACGGCCCCATCAGCCAGGGCTTGTGGTGAGGGTGGCTGATGGGTGTTTGGCAGCTGTGACTGCTTGGAAGCAAAGAGCACCGCATTCCAGGTGCATTCCTG